CACACACACACACACACACACACACACACACACACACACACACACACCACTGTAGCTGCAACTCAGTCATAAACAGCTAGCATCCCCCCATCAAGCTGCTGATAATTCTACTGACTTTACTGATACACTTTATACTCCGTTACTGCACTGTTTGCACACATTTTATTTTTACACATTAACGTTTTTATTCATTTTGTGTATTTAATCTTGTATATTGCTTGTTATCATTTGCTGCTGGCTGAGGGCTCGTATCTACAATGACAATAAAAACCTCTATCTTTATAAAAGACATTAAATAAACTTTATTTATACAAAAACTCAAACACTGAGTCTTTGTATAAATAAAGTTTATTCAAACACTTTGAATAAACTTTATTGATAACATTAATCGTCTCTTACCAAAGTCTTTGTTCATGGCCTTAGCGAGAGATGCCGCCGTCATCCTCCGTCTGATCTCCACTTCCTGTTTGTCCACTTTAGCTTTGACCTTCTGGTTCCTTTGATCTTTTACCTATGACACATCACAACATCTAGTGTGTTTACATAGTTTAAATGTTATATTTATGTGTGTTTACATAGTTTAAATATTATATGTTTGTGTGTTTATATGTTTACATATTATATTTATTTGTTTGTGTGTTTAAATATTATATTTATGTTTTAAACAGGCGGTGACATCACTAGCAGACCGGAAGTGTCGAGTCAAGACTCACCTGTTTGGAGGCGAACTTCCTGTTCTGTTCACAGGTGAGCAAGGGGGCGGAGCTTCGAGCCGGACGGAGGACGGGCGGAAACAGGAAGTGGCTGAACAGAGCCGAGTCCACGAGGACGAGCCGGCGGGCCCCCCGCATCACTGATGACATCACATTCATACCTGTAGAGGGACAGGTGAGGCTCACTCTGATTGGTCCTCTGATGCTGTCTGGTTGTTGTGACAACAACAAGATTAGAAAACTTTATTTATCCAATAGACTCACACAGACAACAATAGACTCACACAGACACCAACAGACTCACACATACAACAATAGACTCACAGACAACAATAGACACCAACAGACACACAGACACCAACAGACAACAATAGACTCACACAGACAACAGACTCACACAGACAACAATAGACACACACAGACAACAATAGACTCACACATACAACAATAGACTCACACATACAACAATAGACTCACACAGACAACAATAGACTCACACAGACAACAGACTCACACAGACAACAGACTCACACAGACAACAATAGACACACACATACAACAATAGACTCACACATACAACAATAGACTCACACAGACAACAATAGACTCATAGAGACAACAATAGACACACATACAACAATAGACAGACACCAACAGACAACAATAGACACACACAGACAACAATAGACACACACAGACAACAATAGACACACACAGACACCAACAGACAACAATAGACACCAACAGACAACAATAGACACACACAGACAATAGACTCATAGAGACAACAATAGATACACACATACAACAATAGACACACACAGACACCAACAGACAATAGACACACACAGACAACAATAGACACCAATAGACACACACAGACACCAATAGACACACACAGACACCAATAGACACACACAGACAACAATAGACTCATAGAGACAACAATAGACACACATACAACAATAGACACACACAGACAACAATAGACTCACACAGACAACAATAGACACAGTCCACAATAGACAAAAAACACATTACAAAGAATAAATAACATGATTGTCAGAAAGATGCTGAATCTAAAAAACACATCTAAAAATCTAACAGCTGCTGGAACCAAAGACCTTCTGAGTGGTTCAGTAGAACTCCAAGTCTCTCACTGAATGAGCTTCTGGGTCCTTTAAAAATATCTTCAAGAGAAACAATGGTTTTTAAATTGGCCTTGTTCGCTAGTGAGTCTGGCATTAGGCCAACCACTGAGCCAGCCTCTCTGATCATCTTATTGATCCTCCACAGTGATAGACCCCAAGATATCTATATCTGCTGACCCTTAATCATCACTGGGGAGACCTCCTCCTCCTCCTTCTGAAATCAATAACCAACTATTTGGTCTTTCCAACATTTAGTTTTAAAAGATGTTCATCACAGCACCTGAGACTCAACCTCCCGTTGATAGGCCCGGTCATTGCCTCAGGTAAGTAGACCAACCAGTGTCATCTGAGAACTTCTGGATGTTACACATGGCTCTGCCTACAGCCAGCTGTATGAATTGAGAATAAAAAGGGATTCAACTGTTCCCTGTGGTGCTCCAGTTTTAGTTAAGATAGTGTCAGACTGTATCAAGCCTGACGAACTGTGGTCGAGACAAAAGGTAATCCAAGACTACAGCAATAGTTGTATTGTGCAGTTTAAAAGTCAGAAGTGTTTCAACTAAAAGCTGTGGTTGGACTCAGGCTCATGTCTCAGGCTGCAGCTGTTAAGCGAACACAACACACGCACGGAAGGGAAACCAGTAGGTTCAGAAACCAGTAGGCACGTAACACCGGCACTAAAACAGACGGGGAGTACATCCCAAGTCTCTTAATTGTCATTTCCTTGCTCCTCGATCCTCACTTGAACCGGAAGTTGTTTCTGCGCCGCCATATTGACGGCCGTCCCAAAGCTCTAAAGTAGCTCGGAGGAGCGAGGATCGAGGTCGGAGGAGGGACCGAGGAGGAGCCATGACCGAGGACCCACGAGAACCGACTTCCAGGAAGTCTTTTAACGGCCGACACGCCCCCTCATTGTTCATCAGTCATGTGATTGGATGCTGCAGCTGATCGGACTGACTGACTTGAGTTTCATACCAGAGTGAAGACAGATCACAGAATAAACTCAAGCTTTATATTTGATTAGGTTTCTGATTCACCGTCTGGTTTAAATAAATGTTCATTGTAGTCTGAACAACAAAATGACCACAAACAACTTTCTACATTTATTAGAAAGATTTGTGTTTTCATGATCTAATGTTTCCCTCAATAACTTTATTATGAATACAATTAAAGTCAGAGAGAGCTGGAGAGACTAAACACTCTTTACATCATTCCTGAGTGTTTGATGAGTTTTATCATTTAAGAGAAACAATAATCATATTCTGGGTTATTTAATAATGACGTCACAGTCACAATTTAAAAACGTACAGACGCAAATAATTCATAAATAAGACGATCGCATTCCGCCGGTAGAAATGGATCCTGTGCTTATAAACAGGACACAGTTTGTTAACAGACTACAGAGAGAAACACCTCTACAGTGGTGATCACTGTGTCTTTATTAGTTATTAGTATTATTAGTTACTGTTATTAAGTACAGTGATCATGTGAACACACACTAACTTATCTAAAGTCTCTCCAGCTGTTAAAGCCGGCTGATCAGCTGATCAGCTGATCACAGCTGATCAGCTGTGATCCTCCGTCATCAGGAACAGACGTCGCTTCACGTGACGCAACTGAGGAAAGGACGTCTCATGTCTCTTAAAACATATTTCCTCGTTCCTCTCTCCTCGCATGGTTTCCTCCATGCATCCCTGGTGGGAGGGACTAAGACACAAGGAAAGGACCCAAGTGAGGGAAACGGGGATGCAATTAAGACACTTGGGATGTGCCCGATATGTCAACGACGTCTGGCGAGTCCGTCCGATCCACACGAGACGTTAGTAAACACAAGAGACGTTAGATTAGACCGAGACACAGAGCGCGAGGACAGTAAAGAACTCCCAGGTGAACTGAGTTCTGTCTCACCTGAGAGTCTTGCTTATTCTTCTTTCAGCTCATCCTCAAACTAACTCTTAATCTGTTGGTTCAGTTTCACCGTGAAGGAAACGTCCGACAGGGAGCCGCCATGACACCTTTTACACGACCAGGTGGCCCGGCAGCGCCTCCTGCTGGTCTGGAGTAGACCTGCTTCTTCCTGAGACTCTAGATCAGTGGTTCTCAAACTGTGGGGCGCGGTGGTATTACAGGTGGGGCGCAGGGGGAAATGCAGATTTATTTTTACATTTTTTACATTTTATTTTTTTAAAGTAATTAATAAATACATTGCGAAATGCCTGTACTTTCGTGTAAATGTTTACGTTACGCCGTTAACAGGTTATGCTTGCGCATACGCGACGGCCATGATCCTTGGCGACTTACATGTGTGGCTTAGTGTTCCAAATGAAGAGACATTTGGCAGGCGGGAACAGAAAAGCAACCTCAAGCGACGCATCCGAGACGAACAGCAGGCAGCCAAGAAGAAAATATGATGATGCCTATCTTGCTCTGGGTTTCACAGTGAACGCAGTAGGAGATGAGGAGAGACCAGTCTGTGTTTTATGTCTGAAAACTCTAGCTGCGGATAGTATGAAACTTGTTTTCACAGTTTAGTTTTTCACAGGTTGCACTTTATTGTTATCTTGAAAAGATGTTTAGTGGTTTAGTGCAAAACAGGTTAATTGCAGCCAATTGTAATAAGCTATTTTTTGCCAAATTGTAGTTATTTTTTGCACAGATATAACTTTATTTGCATTGTTCTAACAAAGTGATTGCACATGTTATTTGTTTTTGTCATGGAGTAATCTGGTTTACTTAAAAGTGATTGCAATTTTCTTTATTCTATTATTTGAAAAAGCACAGACGGAGGAGTCACAAAATGTTATTTCAATAAAAATTCAACATGGACCATTTTGTTACAATTTTGTTGGGGCAGTGGGGCATGAACATTTTTCTTCCTCCAAAGTGGGGCGCGACAGAAAAAGTTTGAGAACCACTGCTCTAGATCGAGACAAGGATACATCCCAAGTCTCTTAATTGCTGAGTTTCCCTCACTTGCGTCCTTTCCTTGCAGATCCATTTCTACCGGCAGAATGCGATCGTCTTATTGATGAATTATTTGCGTCTGTACGTTTTGAAATTCAGATTGTGACATCATTATTAAATAACCCAGAATATGATTATTGTTTCTCTTAAATGATAAAACTCATCAAACACTCAGGAATGAACAGCCTCACGTGACTGAATGAAATTATGATATATGTATATATATATATATATATATATATATATATGTATATGTATATATATATGTATATATATATATGTATATGTATATATATATGTATATACGTATATATGTATATACATATATATACACATATATACATATATATATACATATATATATATATACATATATATATACATATATATATATATACATATATATATACACATATATATATACATATATGTGTATATATATACACATATATATATGTGTATATATATACGTATATATATGTGTATATACAGTTGTGTGAAAAAGTGTTTGCCCCCTTCCTGATTTCTTATTTTTTTGCATGTTTGTCACACTTAAATGTTTCAGATCATCAAACAAATGTAAATATTAGACAAAGATAACACAAGTAAACACAAAATGCAGTTTTTAAATGAAGGTTTTTATTATTAAGGGGGGAAAAAAATCCAAACCTACATGGCCCTGTGTGAAAAAGTGATTGCCCCCCATGTTAAAATATAAATTAACTGTGGTTTATCACATCTTTGGAAAGCTGAGTTCAATTTCTCTAGCCACACCCAGGCCTGATTACTGCCACACCTGTTCTCAATCAAGAAATCACTTAAATAGGACCTGCCTGACAAAGTGAGGTAGACCAAAAGATCCTCAAAAGCTAGACATCATGCTGCGATCCAAAGAAATTCAGGAACAAATGAGAAACAAAGTAATTGAGATCTGTCAGTCTGGAAAAGGTTACAAAGCCATTTCTAAAGCTTTGGGACTCCAGCGAACCACAGTGAGAGCCATTATCCACAAATGGCGAAAACATGGAACAGTGGTGAACCTTCCCAGGAGTGGCCGGCCGACCAAAATTACCCCAAGAGCGCAGCGACGATTCATCCAAGAGGTCACAAAAGACCCCAGAACAACATCCAAAGAACTGCAGGCCTCACTTGCCTCAATTAAGGTCAGTGTTCATGACTCCACCATAAGAAAGAGACTGGGCAAAAATGGCCTGCATGGCAGAGTTCCAAGACGAAAACCACTGCTGAGCAAAAAGAACATAAAGGCTCGTCTCAATTTTTGCCAGAAAACATCTTGATGATCCCCAAGACTTTTGGGAAAATACTCTGTGGACTGACGAGACAAAAGTTGAACTTTTTGGAAGGTGTATGTCCCATTACATCTGGCGTAAAAGTAACTCGGCATTTCAGAAAAGGAACATCATACCAACAGTAAAATATGGTGGTGGTAGTGTGATGGTCTGGGGCTGTTTTGCTGCTTCAGGACCTGGAAGACTTGCTGTGGTAAATGGAACCATGAATTCTGCTGTCTACCAAACAATCCTGAAGGAGAATGTCCGGCCATCTGTTCGTGACCTCAAGCTGAAGCGCACTTGGGTTCTGCAGCAGGACAATGATCCCAAACACACCAGTAAGTCCACCTCTGAATGGCTTAAGAAAAACAAAATGAAGACTTTGGAGTGGCCTAGTCAAAGTCCCGACCTGAATCCGATTGAGATGCTGTGGCATGACCTTAAAAAGGCGGTTCATGCTCGAAAACCCTCCAATGTGGCTGAATTACAACAATTCTGCAAAGATGAGTGGGCCAAAATTCCTCTACAGCGCTGTAAAAGACTCATTGCCAGTTATCGCAAACGCTTGATTGCAGTTGTTGCTGCTAAGGGTGGCCCAACCAGTTATTAGGTTTAGGGGGCAATCACTTTTTCACACAGGGCCATATAGGTTTGGATTTTTTTTCCCCCTTAAGAATAAAAAAACATTTAAAAACTGCATTTTGTGTTTACTTGTGTTATCTTTGTCTAATATTTAAATTTGTTTGATGATCTGAAACATTTAAGTGTGACAAACATGCAAAAAAATAAGAAATCAGGAAGGGGGCAAACACTTTTTCACACAACTGTGTATATCTATCTATATATATATATATACACAACACATATATATATACACACATACACACACACCGTGTTCTATTCTTTGATATTTTGTCTGTGAAACACTGATGCTCGTTTTGATGTTTTATATAAATAAACCACACACACACACACACACAGTCAGTCAGTCAAGTGGACACTTTTTTTTTTAAAGACAAGTTGTTTATTGTTGATTTTTGAACGCATCCTGAAGTTGGACACCATAGCAACAAGTCAGGGTTTAACTGTCAGTAGTTATTGTTTGTTGTTATTAATAAAGTTATATTAATGTGCATTTATACTATTTATACATTTTTCAATGAAAACAAAAGTTACAGCGTCGTAAACGAAGCTCAATATCCAGATTATCTAAAAACACACTCACAATAACATTTAACATCTTTCATTTTACAAAATAAATCTTCTGTTCACACAAACAGAACCACCAGAACCACCTCAATTACATCTCTGGGGGAAAATCCTCGACGTTAATAAAGTCTCTCTAATAACAAACAGCTCCTTACAGAACAGCTCCTTATCCTTGAAGAACAGCTCCTTACAGAACAGCTCCTTATCCTTACAGAACAGCTCCTTGAAGAACAGGTCCTTATAGAACAGCTCATTGAAGAACAGCTCCTCATCCTTAAAGAACAGTTTCTTGAAGAATAGCTCCTTGAAGAACAGCTCCCTATAGAATAGCTCCGTACAGAACAGCTCCCTATAGAACAGCTCCGTACAGAACAGCTCCTTGAAGAACAGCTCCTTATCCTTAAAGAACAGTTTCTTGAAGAACAGCTCCTTGAAGAACTGCTCCCTATAGAACAGCTCCTTACAGAACAGCTCCTTATCCTTAAAGAACAGTTTCTTGAAGAACAGCTCCTTGAAGAACTGCTCCCTATAGAACAGCTCCTTACAGAACAGATCCTTATCCTTAAAGAACATCTCCTTGAAGAACAGCTCCTTACAGAACAGCTCCTTATCCTTACAGAACAGTTTCTTGTAGAACAGTTACCTTCAGTTCGAACTACGCGTGAGACGTTCAGGTGTCTAACGTCCATGGGTAAAGTCTGTTCACGTGAAATAACAAGGGACCCAACACGGAACCCTGTGGAACTCCACAAGTACTAAAGGTGAGCTCATGTTTCTTTAATAAAGTACCGTCACCTGTACCAACATTAATCTTTGTGCTATAATTTATTAGGACGACACTCAATGATTCTTAACTCTAATTTATCAAACTCTTAAATACAGTTTCTGTTGTGACTGAGGCTGTTGGTTCTCTAGAGAACCTGTGGTTCTCAAACCTTTTGCCTGGTTAACTTCTATGTACTTCTTCTTAATATGAGTATTTATATTCTTTAGTTAAACGAAGCTCTACAAAAATAAACATTGTTCTGTAAACTTCAGCTACAAAACAGTTTTCATATAGAACACTTCCTCACAGAGCACTTCCACACAGAACAGTTCCACACAGAACACTTCCTCACAGAACACTTCCTCACAGAACTGAGGATAAGGTAAATAAGTCAAAGCATTCTGGGTAGTATTTCTCTTTAAATCCTCGTTCAGAGGTTGAAAAGCAGCGTTCAGTTTCTTTAAAGTTATATTTCTAAGGTTCTCAGAGAGAACACAGCGCCACCTTGTGGACAGAAAAGGTTCCCACGTCTCTGTTCTGCTCAATGAATTCTAATTTGAATACCTTAAAAAAAGTTTCACTTTATTGTATTTTGAGGTAGAATTACTTTTTTTCTTTTTTACTGGGATCAAACTAAGATCCATCTTTCTTCTATTTGTTCTACTTCATTTAAGAACTCAGTGCAGGAACATAGAACATCTTCATCATCATCAGACAGAAGAACATAAAAAACAACACATCTGTAAAAAGCCCTAAATGATCACGTTTCATAG